CCGAACACACCATAACACAAAAATTTGTGCATCACCGCGACCGCACCATCCTTAATTAGGCTATTAGCCATGCCTTGGGAATCCCACACCATGTCGGGAGAAAGCTGGGGCCAGAAAATATCAGGGGACATGCCCTCATTCAACAGCGCGCCGCCACGGTGGAGTCCTACGACCTCTGCCATGATGTCGACAGTGATGATCCTCTCCGTCCCAAGTAGACGACACGTCATATAGTCCTCGGTCGCCGGCATCTCGAGGGTACTGAAAAACTCGAGTGTGAGGTTGCGGTATGCCGGGTGGACCAAGCGGGCATAAGCCTTCAAGCGCAGCGCGTTAAGGTAGGTCTCGATGGTCTCTAGAATCCCAAGATCGGAGAGTAAAGCAAAGTCGAAGGTCTTCGATTTCAAAACATCCTTTTTCGCGAGCTGGGCATAAACCTCCCCCTCTCATTCGGAGAGAATAAGAAAGGGGGCATTGTAGTCGGCCCGCAAATCGACCGGCTCGTCTCGAGAGGATGAGGATTCCCCGACAGATTTCTTAAGTTTATTACCGGCCCCTTTTTTCACTATTGTTAATACCAACATCACTCAAGCAATTAAACGAACACGTTGTAGGCACAAATTTGAACTTGAATAGTGAAGAACTGCAACGAAGCTAAACCCGAATACCAACACCTCAATCAACACCTCAAGCAATTCGCAAGCAATGAGTGAGAGTAAGCCACCCGTACCTTACAAATTCGACGATGAACGGGGCAAAAAAAAGGAAATTTACGCGACCCTTCTAAAGAGTAGGATGGCCGGAGTCGTTGGTGGTCCTCGAGCAGTCGGAATCTGGAGAAGAGGGACTAGGGTTCTGGTCGCGAGAGAGACTGACGGTGGCTCGGAGTAGAGGGAAAGCCGGAATCGGTGATGCCAGGTCGAAAATTAGAGGCTGATGTGCGTCGAAAATCAGAATCACGGGGAGGCTACTACTGGACGGAGATGACGATGGTGGCGGCCGAAATCGATGGTGGTCTGGACGGAGCTGTGAACAGACACCGGAGGTGGTGAGTCGGAAATCGCAAATGACGGGGAGTCGACCTAGGGTTCCCAAAGTCGCGTCGCGAGAGAGGGGAATTTAAACGAGTGAACCGCTGACGGAGGGTCGCTGGAGGTGGAGGATCGCCGGAGATCGGAGGTTGAACGGAGATGGTGAGCGCTTTGGGTTGAAGGAGCGTCGGTTCTTGTGAGAAATTTTGTCGCGAGAGGAATGGGAAATCTTGCAAAAGAAACGAGGCCCGTCATTTAAAGCAATAGGTAAGTCTAGAGAAACAGCGAACGGCTGCATATTGATGTGGGGTAACTCGTGACTCGCGACAACTTCGCTAGTCGCGACTTCAGCGTCGCGAGTCGCAAAATTGTGTCGCGAGTCGCGAAAAAAACTGGGACTGATAACGGTTCTCAGGGGTAACTCGCGACTCGCGACTTATCTCGCGAGTCGCAAAAAGTCGATTTTATATATATATATATGCAATAAAAATAGATATATATACACATAGTACAATAAATGCTCGGTTTAAAGCCGGGAGCTCGGCATTGATGCCTTAGATCAAGGATACGCTGGGTCGCCAAGACCGATGGTCTCGACATTGTACTTCTCGAACTCCCCATCAAAGTAAGGCTTCACTCTTTGCCCGTTCACCGTAAATAGCTCGCCATTTGGTGGATTCCGGAGTCTGACGACTCCAAAACTCAGCACCTCATCAATAATATATGGGCCACTCCACCGGGATTTGAGTTTTACCGGAAATAGACGAAGTCGAGAGTTATAGAGAAGGACTTGCATGCCCGGTACCAGCTCCTTTCGAACAATGTGAGCATCATGGTGTCTCTTCACCTTTTCTTTGTAGATTTTGGCATTCTCATATGCCTCATTCCTCCTTTCTTCCAACTCCGAGAGTTGCAACAATCGAGCTTTACCGGCGGCGTCCAGTTCAAAGTTAGTCTTCTTAATCGCCCATAAAGCCTTATGTTCAATTTCCACCGGTAGATGGCAAGCCTTCCCATAGACTAGTCTGAACGGACTCATGCCCAAGACGCCTTTGTATGTTGTTCGTTGAGCCCACAACGCATCATCAAGCCGACTCGACCAATCCTTCCTTTATGAGTTGACCGTCTTCTCTAAGATGGTCTTTATCTGCTTATTGCTTGTCTCCGCCTGGCCCGAGGTTTGTGGGTGATAGGGAGTAGCCACTTTCTGTGATATACAGTACTTCTTCATCAGCTTCTCGAAAAGCTTGTTGCAAAAGTGCTTCCCTCCATCACTCACAATTGCTCTTGGGAACCCAAACCTACTCAATATATATCCTTGCACAAACTTGATCACGATGTTAGCATCACATGTCTTTGTGGGGATAGCCTCAACCCACTTAGACACGTAATCTACGTCAAGTAAAATATACTCGTAGCCATTCGACTTAGAAAATGGTCCCATAAAATCAATGCCCCAGACATAAAAAATTTCGACTTGAATGTTATTAATCAAGGGCATCTCATTTCTACGACCTATATTCCCAGTTCGTTGGCATCGATCACAAGAGCAACAAAAGTCATGGCCAAAACAAACCTGATTTTAGTACCTTAAAAGCGGTCTTTTGGCCGCCAAAGTGGCCTCCACAATGGACTCATGTAAAAATGTGAGGACATCAGTTTGCTCCTCTTCTGGAATACATCTCCTAAGCACCTCGTCCTTCCCCATCTTGAAAAGGAATGGCTCGTCCTAGAAGTAATCCCTGCACATAGAAACAAAACACTTTCTCTCTTGGGAAGAGAGGTCAGGCCGCAGTTTCCCACAAAATAAGTAATTCACAATGTCAGCATACCAAACACTTTTCGACACTTCATGCGCATGCTCATAAGGAAAATTATCATTAATAGAATAGAATGATGCACAATCAATGAAGATGATGAGTCAGATGGGACTATGCGTGACAAGTGATCAGCAACTACATTCTCAGAACCTTTCCTATCTCTAATGTCAACATCGAACTTTTGCAGTAACATAATCCACCGGATGAGCCTTGGTTTAGAATGAGTTTTGCTCAGATGGTACTTCAAAGCCGCATGGTCTGAGTGAATAATTACATTAGATCCCAAAATGTAAGATCTAAATTTTTCGAGCGAAAAGACCACGGCTAGAAGTTCCTTCTCGGTGGTAGTATAATTTTGTTGGGCTCCACTAAGAGTCAAGCTAGCATAATAAATCACTCGAAGCAACTTATCAACTCGTTGACCCAAAACAACGCCCACTGCAAGGTTAGATGCATCACACATGATTTCAAAAGGAATCGACCAATCAGGGGCAATAACGATAGGGGCACTCACAAGCTTGCTCTTTAATTCATTAAAAGCATTCAAACAAGCATCATAAAAAACATATGGCACATCTTGAGCGAGCAAATGACACAACGGCTGACTAATCTTAGAAAAATCTTAAATAAACCGTCTATAAAACCCCGCATGACCTAAGAAACTCCTAATCCCCTTAAAATTTACGGGAGTGGGAAGTTTTTCAATAACATCCACTTTGGCCTTATCGACCTCAATCCCTCTACAAGAAACAATATGACCTAAGACAACTCCACTTCTAACCATAAAATGACTCTTTTCCCAGCTCAAAGTCAAATTGGACTCAATGCAACGTTCAAGGACTCTAGATAAATTACGGAGACAATGAGAAAATGAATCACCAAATATAGAGAAGTCGTCCATGAATACGTGCAAGCAGTATTTAAGCATATCTAAGAAGATGGAGAACATGCACCTTTGAAACATACCCGGTGCATTGCATAGGCCAAAGGGCATCCGTCTGAATGCGAAGGTGCCAAAGGGGCACGTGAACGTCGTCTTGGGCTGATCCTCAGGTGCTATGGCCACTTGGTAGTAGCCCGAGAGTCCATCTAGAAAACAATAGAATTGATGGCCCGAAATACGGTCAAGGATCTGGTCAATAAACGGCAACAGAAAATGGTCCTTCTTTGTCACAGCGTTCAGCCGCCTATAGTCAATGCACATGCGCCACCCGGTAGTGATGCGGGTGGGAACCAACTCCTTCTTGTCATTCTCGATCACGGTTATGCCTCCCTTCTTCGGCACCACATGAATAGGGCTAACCCACTCACTACTCGCCACTGGATAGATCAATCCCTCAGAGAAAAGTTTCAGCACCTCTTTCTTCACTACCTCCATCATATTCGGGTTTAGCCATCGCTGGCTATCCCGAAACGGCTTGGCTCCCTCCTCCAAGATAATCTGGTGCATGCATGTAGATGGACTGATCCCTTTGATGTCTCCAGGCTCCACCCGATGACTTTCTGATTCTTTCGGAGCATGGTTATCAGCTCTTCTTCTTCTTCACTGTCGAGCTCAGCAAAGATTATCACCGGTTTCTGCTGGGCATCATCTAAGAAGACATACTTAAGGTGCTTGGGCAGCTCCTTAAGCTCAAGTATGGCCTCAGTTCGGGAATGACCTTCTCCTACTTCAAAAAGCTCCACTATAGGCTCTTCCTCTTCCTTGAAAGCTGGCAACGATACTTCCTCGAACTCCTGAAGTACCATCTCCTCAATAAAAGGGTCAGCCAGATCAATGAAAGCACATTCCTCTACAAAATTGATTGAAGATGAGGACATCGCCTCTCGGACAGAAATAGACACCGTCTCCCCCAAAACTGTCATATTCAGAGTCCCGTTCTTCACATCGATGAGCGTGTTAGTCGTCACCATGAAAGGTCTTCTGAGAATGATTGTGTGATCCTTCCCATTCTCGTGCACATCCCCAACGTCTAGAACAACGAAATTCACTGGAATTATAAGCTTCCCACCTTCACGAGCACATCCTCGACTATTCCCTTCGGGAACCTGATGGAACGGTCTGCCAATTGGAGGCACATGCGAGTCGACCCCAAGGCCGAGCCTCTGAAAAATCGAGAAGGGCATGAGATTTATTTCGGCTCTGAGGTCAAGCATCCCTGAAACCACCGGGGTCACGTTCCTTCTTGGGCAAGTCGTGCTGCATGGCACTTGCCGCCTCGTACACCACCACCTTCTCTCCATCCTCAAACTTCCTCTTTTTGGTCACCAAGTCCTTGAAGAACTTACCATATGATGGCATATTCTTAATCACATCGAGGAGTGGCAAGTTGACGTTCACTTTGGAGAGCATGCTGAAAAGATCCCGGAACTGCTTCTCTTGCTTCTCGTTCCTAAGTCGGTCCGAAAAAGGAATACGCGACTTATATGGATTCGGCGACTTATGTAGCACCGGCTCTTCTGTCACCTTCCCTAGCTCTGCTTCCTTGATCTTTTCTGAATGAGTCTCCGGATCTTCGGGCTCGGGCAACTGCACTTTGTTGTCCACTTCCTTCCCGCTCTGAGTACAGTGATGGCTTTAGCTTGCTCGGGCTGACTAGACAACTTTCCCTTGTTCATCTCGGTCTCAATAGTTCTGACCCGAGCAGCCAGTTGGCCTAACTGTGTCTCAATGCGCTTGATGGAGGCATCCTGATTGACATCTCGCTGCTCTCTTTTAGCCATAAATTGAAGGATTTTAGCAACATCATCTTGAAAGTTTGAACTCGACCCTGCTTCCGGTCCCCTCTGCTGCTGCTGCTGTGCCTGGTAGTTCGGACGGGGCACAAAGTTTGGTCGAGGTTGTTGCTGCATGAAATTTGGACGGGGTGGCTGAAGGGTGTTCGAGTTGTTTGACCATGAGAAAGCGGGGTGATTCCGCCATCCCGGATTGTAAGTGTTTGAATATGGGTCATTGTCTGGCCGGTTTTGGTATCTCTGTAAAGCACTGTGTAACACCCCGCTTATCAGAGTAAAATTTTCGCAACCTTTTACTTCGATATCACTTTAACATTTTCGAAATACTTGCGACTAACTCGGGATGCTACTCAACTTATCTTCTTGAAAATCTGTTTATCTTTAAACTATCATTTAATACTTTTTTGAAACATAAAAACAGATTTTCTTTAAACTTACATTTAAAATACCATAATCATAATTATCATAATTATGAAAACTTTAAATCTAAAATTCATTAAAATGCAAGTTCAATAATTACTTTGCGTAGCGAAAATACTTGAAATGTGGTTAAATATACAAACTTTTATAAATGTCCATATTAGAGCTTGTCTTCGTTTGCTTTCACGATCCACAGCAACACAGCTACACTCACACCTCCTCGTTAACCTGTTACCTGAAACTAAAACTCATGGGGGTGAGTAACGAATATGGATAATCATAAACCGATATCTGATCGGTAACTTAAACTTAAACTTTCATTTCTCTGGCCGATGGTTAATCGGATACGTGTGCACACTCTGATGGATATTTCTAAGGCCCGTTTCGCCTCCACCAGAACTTAGGATATAATCTTATGAGACAAATTAATGCCTCCTCATCCCAAGCGTAATAAACCTTAACTTCGGGATATAACTTTTGAGACAACTGATGGTCTCCTCATCCCAATCACATATCGTACTCAATGTGATACCCGTTCAGGGTCCCCACCTTTTTGTCTTTGAAATCATTTGAAAAACGATAAGTGCTGTACTGATACTGTATCTGCAAGTTACATCAAATATAGACAAATATACTAAGTACTATGCTCATATACTCAATAAGATTTTTCTAGGATTTTTAACTTATCCAAATCTTATAGAAATTCATTAAACTTGCTTTTCTCAAGTTTATACTTAACTTCTCTTTTTACTTATACTTAAGGTCAATTACTTAACCTTGTATAAATCATGTCTTCATAAACATCAATATGGTATTATACTTAGCATGTCATAACTCAAATAACTATATTTCACATTATACTTGATTTAAACTTAAAATATGCTTACTTTTACCAACATCATCAACATGATTTATAAACTTATCTTAATTTAACTTGGTCAAATACTTAATTCATCATACATCATATCTCTCAATTTTTAGATATTGGCTTATACTAAATTTTCATTTAATTAAATTGAGAGTGAAAATAATCTCAAGCCACAATCATCTTTTACTCATAATATTTAATCATGATGTTAATATGTCATACTTAATACAATTTTTATAAAATTGTATACTCAACATATTATACCAAAACATCATCAAATTACTCATTACTTATATGAGAATTATTCATGATCATCTCATTTTAATAACTTAAACATTTCATGAATATTCTTGCATATATACTTATCTTTACATATATGCCTTCTTATATTCATAACTTATTCATTTCTCATCTTTAAATTATGAAACTTAACAGTTATAATCTCAACTTATAATTAGACATGTCATCAAAATTTCATCATTTTATCATGCATATATCTCAACTTATTCAAGTTTAAAGTTGCTGCTGGAAACAAGTACATAAAATTCAGCTTGCATGATAAACTTTAAAAATTCATATCTTAAGCTATACTTTGCCAAATAACTTAATTCTTGTTCTCATGAACTCCTCTTTTACACAAGAATTACTCATGTAAATCATACTTCTCCAGCTTATTCTTATCTTTATCAAAATCTCATTCAAATCAAGCACATATATCATATAATTGATCTTGAACAACTTTAACTCTTTTTATTCATATGATCAATTATAAACTCAACTTCTAATCATGATATACATACCTATAAAAATGTAAAATTATCATCAAAATATGAACTTAAGCATATAACTTTAAGATATGTAAATTACCTCCTTGCTATAAAAACTTGATTCTTCACTTCAAATTCTTCACTACACCAAAATTTCTACTACTTATTCTCACATTCACTCTTATATATCTTTAGGTACTTTTATTTGGTGTGAGAACTCTGAGTTTTAGGCCTCTATTTATAGGCAAAATTTTCAAGACATCATAATTGAGTGAAGAAATTAACAAAATAAACAATACAAACTTGTAAAAATAAATATAGATAATAAATAGTATTCTTAACTTGTAAACTTCTCCAACCCATAGTCAATGCTTAGAAAGGCCCCTCTTATGATCCTAATCTGATCTCAATGATTAAATTCGAGATATAGTGAAAATTCTCCAATTTACGGAACCAAATTCTGACTTAAAACGAACAGTTACCGTAAAATCGAAAATTCTTACAGTTTTCGAATTTCCTTCTTTTCTTTTGGTATTTTTCATTTTTATGCTGAAAAATTTTTCTTATCTTGTAGTCTACTAAAAATATAGCGAGAAAATAATTTAATTTATTTCTCGGAACTGAAATCGGACATAAATTCCAACTACAATCGAAAACCGAAAAAAAACGAAAATTTTAAAAATTTCATATTTCTCTCTAATAATTTAAATAGACCAAAATGTCTAAATAAATTTTCTCACTTCTTTGAACATTTATAACTTAAATGTTCATGGATACTTAACCGAACTCGAGACCTAACTTGTCTCGACTCATTATTCTTTTTCTTTCTCATTCAAACTAGAAATGGCCAAATTTATATCCATTTAGCTAAATAAAATGGAATGTTACTTGAAATTGAACTTCATCTTAAATAACTTATTTCACTTCAATAAACATTAATGTGTAATTAATCCTTATAACTTGATCAATACTCAGAACTAAGCTAGGCTCGAGAATCATTTGCTCGGTAATAATCTTAACTCGTAACTGAACATGCTTGGTTCGGTTCACGACTTATCTTGAACAAGTAATAAAAATATACTCGATTTTTATTATTCGTCATCTTATTATAATTAATCCCATCTTATAAATCCATTTATAAAAATAAACAGACCGGAATTAATTAATTACTGAACTGGCTCGATTACTAAATAAAATTTAACCGAGAATACTTTCAACTTAAAGTCGAACTTTTAACTGAATAACTTAATAACTTGGCTCGAAACTAGGAAGAGCATTATTAATAAAAGTAATTACTTCAAACTTAGAACTAAAATAATTACTTTTATTAATTACTGAATGGGATATTACACACTGGTATCCGCATACTGTTCACCGGAGTCCTGCTCGAATGATGTGGGGCATACTTCGGATCTATGCCCAGGGACTCCACATGCCCCACATGTGTCAACGACGAAGGTATTAACCGGCTGAGATCCTCGGGCATTGAGTAACCTCATCTGCTCAGTAAGCTCGGCCAGCTATTGGGCCACCAGGTCATTGCTCGTACCGACCTCGTTAACTATAGCTCTCTTCCCACGGGTGCTCTTCTGCGACGAATTCGTGCTCATCGTCTCAAATATTGCAAACATCACTTCAGCTGTCTTTGCTCCAATATCTCCTCCTGCCGCATTATCCACCATATACTGCAAGTTCTGATGGAGGGAGTCGTAGAAACAGTTCATCAGTAGCCCTATAGAGAGATTGTGATGAGGGCATTGCCGCTGGAGGTCCTTGAACCGCTCCCATGCTTCGTGAAGAGGCTCATTGGGCAACTGAGCAAATGACACGATCTGTGACCGAAGATCCTGGGTCTTTTGATGGGAGTAGTACCTCCCAATGAACTTTGAGTACACCTCCGTCCAAGTAGTGAGAGAGCCCGGTGCAAGCATCATGAACCAGGCCTTGGTCCGATCCTTCAGTGTCTCAGGGAAGCACCGCATCTTCAACTGCTCGTCATTCAGCCCGTTGAGAGGAAAAGTGTTGAGGACATTGTAAAATTCCCGGATGAAGTTGAGTGGGTCCTCGCTTGGGAGCCCGTGGAATGCCGGTAGCTGATTATAGTGAATCATTTTGAGTTCATAGTTCCGTGCAACATCCGAAAAACAAATGCATGAAGTGACTGGCCTGATAACCGGTTGGGCTAAGTTTCAGAGGGTATTACGAGGAACTTGTTGTTCGTCCATGTCTGGTTTTGTTGGTTTAGGTGTTGGTCTTGCCGGTTCAGGCGGTTCTAGACTGAGCTTGTCGAACAGCTCTCTTACGCTCTCGGTTTGGGATGGGTTCAAGAGTACGACCACTCCTAGTACGCATACACAAAGACAAAGAAACCGTCACGAGCACCAGATAAACAAAAAGAGAAAACTAAAGAAGAACAAACAACCAAAAATCAAGAGCTATCAGACTAAACAAAAGAAACAAAGAGAACGGAAACATGAAAAATCACAAGAAATGAGAGAAACACAAAAAAAGAACGAATAAGCGCACAATTATAGTCCTAAACCTTCCCCGACCGGTGCCAATTTGTTGTCAGTATTTTTATCGGAGTAGAATCGAAAGATTCATCACCGGGTCGTATCGCAAGGAAGGTTAGCCGGATATTCTTGTGCGTTTATTCAATCACGAAAAAGAGAAAACAAATTCCTAAACATTCTAGTTCAATATTTTGGGGTTTCAATTATCAACTACTTACTTAAACTGAATAAAATGAAAGCAAAATAGCAAATGAATTTACTGAATGATTGAAGTGCTAGGGAATCGAAATAATTGCTTTCGGTTCTAACACAATCACCGGCAATCGATTGCTCGGTTAAAGGTCTTGAATCGTTTCTCGTTCAGAGGTTCACTTTCAATAACTCTTCGTAACAAGAGAGTGAACGTTAACGATCAACTATCAATTCCAACAACACATAGATTATACATTTCTGAACAAATCTATTCTAAACGAGCCTATTTCGACCTACGTCTCCCCTCTCAGTTCTACACGTTGATTATCTAGGTTAGAAAGGTGATCAGTCTACTAACCCTATGATTCACACAACTCGAATAGACATGAACAATCAAAAGCACTCAATTATAACGAACCTAATCAATCATCCCCTATCCCTAGCGAATGGATTTAGCTACTCATAACGAATTTAACATCCAAATTCATATAAACCCAAGTCATCATCATCAACCAAGCAATTGAGAAATAGAACTTACGATTAATTTAAGGAATCCAATGTCAAATCCAAGTGTATCCAAATCCAAAGCAAGAAATAGGAGTTTTTCAATCTCCAAAACAAATCAAAAGTGCAAAAAGATGAAAAGGAATGAGTTTCTCTCCAGAAAGAACGTAAAAGAAAAGTCTGAAAGTTGAATAATGAACCCTAGGACTGAAATCTGATGTTAAAATCCCGTCCTCGAAATTCGCGCCGGTTAAGTCGCGACTCGCGATTTGAGTCGCGAGTCGCGAGATCGTCTTCTTCTCGGTCGCGAGTCGCGCGTCTTCAAAATGTTAACTTCTGGGGCTGGTCGCGACTTGGGTCGCGAGTCGCGACAGCTTCTCGCGAGTCGCGACTTCGTCTCGTGAACTGCTCTCAAGGCTCTGTTTTTCTCGCGGGTCGCGACGTGTTCGCGAGTCGCGACCGGAGTCGCGAGTCGCGATAATTCCTGGGAACCGTTTCTGTCCGTTTTTTCGGTCCTTCCTTGATTCTTCTGGGCTCGGCAACGGGTATTCTCGATATCACAGTCTCGGCTCACGCAATCTGTAGCGCCCCGTTTGATTTATAGAATTTCTCGGGTTATTTAATTTATTGGTCGCGATGTCGACCTAATTAAGGTGTACTCGATCGTTTTATTTGAAAACGTTTGATGTTCGGCGATTTCAATTTAATCGTGTGAACCGAATATAATCCGTTTGAATAATGGATTTTTCGAATATTCTGGCATTATTATTTATTTTTATTAAATTGTCAAAGTGAAATATTTGCTTGATAACATATTTATTATTGGGTGCTAATAAATATATATTATGCCGGTTTGTAAATTTAAAGATTTACAGGTCGTCATATTTTATTTTTTTCGAGCGTTATGTATTTTCGGATTTTATTAAATTGATCCCTGTAAACCGGTAGTCGAAACTGACCGATTCATAAACCCGTTGTTTTCAAATTATTATTATTATTATTATTATTATTATTATTATTGAATGCCTATCTCACATTAAATGTTTAATTGCTTATTATTATTGATTGATTAATGTGTGTATTATATATAATAACTATCCGGATTTTTATTTAATTTATCGTACGATCATCGAGCCGTTTAAAATTTTAATTCAAGAGTCGAGCTATTTTTGTCGAACTCCGCGCGAACCAGCCCAAAACCCAACCGGTTTTTCCCTGCCGACCTGGTCCGCCCATGTGTTGTGCAAAACATGAGGAATAAGAGATGGAGAACCCTAAACTCATAAGTTTTAAATCGGATGCTCTCTCTTTTCTCTCCTCAAAACCAGACGCGCAGCTTTTTATTTTTCTCTCGTCATCTTCCTCGAGCTCGACAGAAACTAGGGAAATCTCATGTAACGCCCCGTTTTATTTTAAAGAATTTTTTTAATTAATTAATGAAGATCAGAGTTATTTTTATTTTTTACTTTTAAAATCCAAGTTAAAACATTTATTGAGAAACGGGCGCTACTTACTAACAACATTAAATAACACACATGCACGAACTATCAATAAAATAAGTTTCAAATAAACGTAAGTCTTAAAACCATTTCAAAAGGTCTAGCATTATTCAAAGTTCAACCAAATCAACCATAGTTCGAAAAGTGAAAGCAGTAAATAATCCAAGGCAAATAATAGCAACCAAGTAAATATCGAGTTTATACGGAAGCATAGGTTTATCAGCACATATGACCACCATCTCGCTTGTCCTACGCCACCGCCTCCAGCTCGTCTCAACCTAAAACGAAGGAAGAGAGAAGACAACAAGAAAATAATGGGGGTGAGCAACCAACTAGCTCACCATTATCGCACAGTTATCTCGTATAATTATTTAGAAAGCAGTTTCATAATAAACCAATATCAATATCCGTATGCATAGAATTCAAAGCCTAAACCCCCTACCCGGCCCTATCGCAAACCTCCTATGTACATACAACAACCTTCCGGATACGACGGCATGGCTGTAACTGGAAACCTTCCCACCCCCGGATACGACGGTCCATGGGATCCTTTCCAGGAGACAGTGAAGTTGAATCACCCCTCCGCTCTACACGGATTCGAGTATTCAGACAATCCCCTCCGCTCTACACGGATTCGGGCGTCCACCTCCCGGATACGACGGGCAGGCGACTTCCACTGCTTTCGCATTCATCAAAGGCACTATCGTTCGGGACACTTAGACTAGAGTTCTCATGCATACAAAACTTTTCAAAGAAATATTACACGAAATAAGGAAGTGCGATAAATATGGAATACATCATAAATGTACCCACCTGATAGCAGCACGGTTCACAGTCACAAATCTCGAAATAAGGCAAGATCAACACCTCTAGACACCTACATGATGTCAAGATCCTACAATCAGAATCTATCTCGACTTAAATCGAAAATCACAAGACAGACCTAGTCGAACACGTTTCGACTAAGTAGTTCGTGAAGTCCTGTGGATGTTGGAACACTAAGACTCGGCTCTAAACTCGACCAAACCACATAAGGGAGTTCACACAAATCCATCTAAGGTTTGACCAAGTCAAACTCACATAAAACCAAAATGCAAGTCGATCCAAATTTTCCATATACAATTATGCTCGAAAATTGAAATCATTTAATCGCATGAAAATAGAAGGTCAAGCTACCCTACGAATTAAGCTCTGAAAATTCACAAAAAATTTCATCTTCCAGAAACATGAAAAATCACAAAGTTTCAGCTTTAAACTCAAGATACCCTATTTTATAAAATTCGAACAACATATCAGCAAAATGGGCACATTAATTCATACTCAGACTTAATGAATGAATCTGATCTTGAAAATTTTACACAATAACATACATTATGCCAAAGTCCATTTGTAAAAATCTCAGCCTTAAATGATAACTGCTGCTATTTTTAAAAATTCAAACGAGCAACAGCAGTTTATCGAATTTAACCCCAAACTGAATCAACACGGACTCTAAAAATTCCCATATTTTACAAACATGATCAAACACCTAAAATATGACTCTCAGTAAACTTTCAGAATTTTCCATGCAGTAACCGATATTTAATAATTCAAACAACAATTCTGCAGATTCAATAAATAAAATATTACCCATATCAAATCAACTCCACAAATTCTAAAAATTTAACACAACACATATAAGTCACAGAGGCATGACATATTCGAATTTCAGCTCCTTTCAGTCAAGCATGAATTTATTATGCATTTAACAATATTCTGGACAGAACACAATTTAATTATTAAAAATAGCTA